GTGGTAATCTACTCTTGTTATATCCTTCACTCAGCCACATTTAAGCAAATTTAAAGTAGAAGATATTAAATACAGTAATTACATTCAACAGAAATAACCTGCCATTAGGAATCCATTTATAAAACAAAGACTCATCCAACTAAGAAACAGAAACCAAATCCCAACCGAGTTTGTTAACAAAGTTTTAAAAACCAAAACTGGTATTCAATTCCTAAGATCTGTACCAGAGAATAGAAAAACCAAGAAGTACTTCAAAATTTAGACTACATATATTTTCTTATTGCTGTCCTAAAGAATGTGATCCCCTATTTCCAACTGCTACTAGAATTTGCTTAAGATGTTCAAATGCTTTCAGGAGACACTTTTGAAGCCTTAATGCAATGGTCATTAACTTGACCCGAACTTAAAGTATGTTTCCCCCCAAAAAAATTTTTTTCACTATAAAAATGTATCCCAAATGAATTAAAACCTATTTAAAAATTCCTAAGAACAATTTCGTTGCTTTTATTACCTAATAACTATTTCCAACCAAAATATAGTATGTAAGTAGGTTTCCTGGCCATTTCATCAGAATATTGTACTTGGGTAAACTACAACTCAGATATGTGCACTGAAAAATATAATCATCTTAGAGAAAACTCCTCACAATTCCATCTTTAATTCAGAAACAAAAGTTTACAGTTTAGTATTTTAAGTTTTTAAAACATTTTAAGGCTAATTATTCTATTCACACATACACCTTGCAATTATAATCCTACGCCCTAGAGAACATGTTGGCCCCTCCCTGTTACCTCTCCTCCTTTTTCCAATTGAAATGGAACACCTGAATGAAGTATTCACATTTCCTATGTCAACGATGATTACCTTTATTGCTATGTGTCAACCTGAATAATCTTAAAGGAAAAACATGAGAATTATCTTCTTGTAGCTATTTAAAATTGAACAGAGCGAGGTTATCCCTTTTTCTCAGAGAACACTGAGATCATCTGGAAGATGGACTTGTCTGCTTCGTCAGACAAATGAAATTTCCCCCATGGTTCCCACCCTTCCAAGAACAACAGGCAGGGATATTACAACCTAAGATCCAATACATAACCAACGGCCCTGGTTTCAGGACACACTAAGCCAACTCTGACTCAAGAGACAACTAAGGATTTCGATTCAGTTGTACAGCCCACTTGGGGGGTATTACACATGATACGTTAAAAGGAAAACTTCAAACCTGTGACTACCTGCACGTTCTAATGATAGTAAGCACTAGACTATTCTAAAGAAGAACATTTTGGGAGAAGTTAAAAATACAAATAGGATTTGGAAGATGAAACTAGCCCATTATTGTCATGCTTTCAAATCTGTTTTCCCAGGACTCACAGCTAAAACTTAAATTTTTCAGATAGAATGCCCTCTATTTGTTGCTACTTCCTCATATCTCATCATGCTTGAAGTCATTTTTGATCACCTAAAATGATTTGTTTCAAGAGAATTCAGTAAATAATCTGTAACCTTTTAATCAGTCCATTGAAGACCTTATAGGGACCATTTGGTGTCAGTTAAAGGACAGCTCAAAACTTGTAAAAGAAAAAAGATTAAGCAAGGTTTAGAAAAAAA